GTTCTATTACTCACGGTATACTTAATTACATATTATATAAAAAAAAATCGATGTTGTACAACGTTGAGATATATAAGCTGTGGCACTATTCTGGCTAATTTAACTGTTTGTTTCACTAATTCTGTTTTTTTATGATCTTATAATCTGTATCGTGTTCTTTTTATATTAAAATGTTTTGACAATTATAATTTAGTATGCAAATAGAGGTATAATATTTAAATGGGTACAATAATCATATGTACCTATTTAAATATATAAAGTTATGATTACAGGCATATGAACAATAGTACTATTTGTTTGTGGCTCAGTAAATAGGTTTCCCTTCTTTCAAATTAAAAAAAAAATCATTTTAAATTCAAATTTAATTCATTTTATTCTTCTTTTACCTTGATTCAATCGCCCAAGGCATAATTGAAAACATATTCAATAATACCGCCAACGACAAAAGAGCAACACGTATTAAAACCTCATTTCCGTTCAAAAAAAGTATAATATTCACAAATAAAGTGTTGTAACTAGATACCAATAGCAACAATTTGTCAACTACCTTTCTTACAAAACATTCATTCATAACATTTGTTGTATTGTTGGTTTCTTGAAAAGCTCAGTGGGTGATATCGAGACAGCTTTTTTCGAATTCACTTTTAGGGTTCCATATTTTAATATGATATACTGAGTAAATATTTCGGATAAAGCGTCATATTACATTAAAAAAAAAATGTATTAAAAATACTGACGCACAAAAAAGTTTGCACAATTTCTTTCGATATTAGTTTATTAATATCTAAACTATTTTTTTTATTAAATTTCAATTGTTTGCAGGAAGCAATATCACTAAAATATAATCAGGCGAAACATCACTCTTTTAATCATTTTTTATTCACCAATAAAAGTATTTGTATAAAAAAAAATCCCAAAAGCTCACCACTTTAGTCTTATAAAATAAAGATATGTGCGCACGAGTATATAAATAATAATATACCGTAAAGTTAATAACATAACATTACTAATGAATTCATTAAAACAAACGCTAGCGCCATTACTAGGTCTTAAAAACATTTTTTCAATATTTGACACACAACGTATGCTTCTGAATTTAATCTAATATATATTTTTAAATATTACTCTGATTTCATTTACCTTGACTTATTTTTCAATAATAGTTTTCCTTTTTAACCTGAATTGAGAATTTTAGAAGAACCTTTCGCTTTTCGTACAATTTGTTCTTAACCATTCTTTTTTTTAATTCTCAAACAACTTTTTCTTACCTTTTTTCTAATCGTTTGAAAGCGGTTTGTGGGTTATTCGGTTATTTCACGGATGTACAATGGAAAATTTTATCGAGTGTAGTTACAATTGTTAAAAGTCAGTGAAGCGTCAACAGTTAAATGTCAATTTACTATGTGAACAGCATTGATATGTTTTACATCTGATTTGTAGCTAAAAATTGATACGGAGGTTAAAAGAAACACATATTATAACACATAAAATACATATTAGGTTTTGTGAGACGAAGTAAATAAGATGACATAGTTCATGACCTACGGCGAGGCGACATCATTGACTATTTCCATGGTAAATGGTTTCAACACTGATTTTATACTCACTGTCCAATGTACAGAACCTATTCCAATGTTGGTTTTACATTGATATAAATAATGTATTACTTTTACATTTTCTAATATTGTAATGGGAAGTGACTTCATATTTTAATAAAGTAATTTTTCAATCTTGACGCTCTGTATGAAATAAAACGGGGAGAAAATAGCAGCCTTTGCCGATTCTTCTCGGTACAAGGTCTTCCGCCGTAGATTTACGAACCGTTGGCGTAGCTCTCGGCTTTCACAAGTTCTTGATACAGTCCAGACTGAATGAACAATTTTGATGTTGACATTCATCATCAGCCTATAATCCTGACTGCTGGGGCATAGGCCTTTTTTATGAATGGAATTATATTTTATGAGGCTCCACGAATTATCCACTACATCGACCATGTGCCGATAAGTCGGTATCAATGACTGCAGGTGCAGCCTCTGACCAACATACCTTCCGAAATGCGGTGAGCCTCGAGGTAAATTACTACTTACGATCGGCCCTTGCGAAAGGTGCTTAACTTCCACGTCGCAGTCCGAACGCGCTAACCACTACATCGAGCTCCTCATTTATTACTGGAACTGGAACCTGACTGATAAATATAAACTGAAATGTTATAGAAACTATCATTAACCATGGTGCCGAGTTCAGCTGGATTCGAATTTCAAAGTTTTCAATCTGTATCATTATCTGATCTTTGAACGTGTGTACCTATCGAATTTTATCAAGACTTTTACCGCTTTTATTTTTACCGCTTTTTAGAAAATAGGTCAGTATTGTAATTGTCGCAACGTTAAGTCACAGAGTAAAACTATATCGCTTATTACAATTTTAAAAATAAATTGAAAGTCGAACAGTCGGATGCTGTATTTTTTAAATTATGAATGTTTAAGTATTCATATGAATAGTTCTACACTAAAATTTAACACCACGCAGGTTTAAATTCAAATCTGCCAGTGCACTAAAACTACAATTTGATATACATACCCACAGAACACAGAAAGACATTTTCTGTGTTCTGTGTCCATACCTTTATTATTAATAATGTTAGTAGGATACAAGTAAATAAACAATTTAAACCACTATTGTATTTTGATTCCTTACTTCCGTCGATTTCCTTTTAAATAAGTGTAACAGAAACCTCTCGGTGTGATTTCTTTGCCATTGTGGCTACATGTTTTATATGTAATTTATACCTATGAACTTATTTTATACCGTTGTGACAAAAAATACTGGTAAAACTGCTTATTTATTTCTACCGTTTTACTATATGCCGTATTCATTGTTGAGTTATTTGATCAAAATTTGTAGTAACTTGCTTATTTTATTACTTTTTGTAAATATTTATAGCAAATTGAATATCATTGAATCAGTGATAAAATTACTCAAATTCTTATATTTTTGTCAGAAAGAGCTTAAAAAGTTAGTTTAAAAGTTTATAATATTAATTAGATATATTTTAAATTAGTATGTTATTGGTCGATATTAGCTTTTTTATTATACCAACTAGCTGACACGGCAAACGTTATTTTTCCATATAAATTTGGGGTGGCTCACCAGTTAGGGTAAGATAAAGAAGAACAACCTATTCTCAATATACATAATATGTATATTCAGTAGGTCTGTAGTTTTTTACTTCTCTAATCAATTGATAACATTATCCTCTCTTAATCTCACAGATTATAAGTACTTAGCTCAACTTTTTGTGTCTTGTTATGTTGTCACAAATTTCTATATCGCGCTAACAAAGCATGCTTTTTAACGTTTTAAAAACCACAACTCTCAAATTATTTAACACTATCCCAGACAATCGAAGGGATTTAGCTAACCACAGAAGCTGTTATAACATTTCTAATCCTTCCGACCACCCAGTTCGCTAGAAACGTAAAAGAAATCGATGAATCTTATTTTGAAAGCTTCTATTTAGTATTTCATTGAAAATACAAGGATCTACGTATGAGTAAACCTTTTTTTACAATAATAAATATTTGTATCAATTAGCGACCATTCTTAACACAATATTGTCGTATTTCCGCATTTCTAATGTAGTCGGTAACATCAAGTAGAGTTTGTAAATGAAGCCGTTATTATAATGGTGTATTCACACTAATGTAAGATTTTTGCAGTCATATTTGAACGGGTTGAACTTGTTTAACATTACAATAAAATAACAAATACAGATAATTATCAGTAGTATAATTATGATGTTTTGTTTTTTTTTCCCATCCAATACAACGATGCCTGGAAGAAATCGCTGGCTAGCGACAAAGCCGCCTTTTGTGCGTTTTTATATAAATATTTATTCGTGTCTATGTAATTTTTATTTTTTGTGCAATAAAGAGTGTTTATTTATAAAGCCGGGTAAATTACAAAAGTAATTTCAATAAACTACTTTTATTGTCTACTTTTTCACGTTCCACATGTAATCGTCCACTTACATTAACATCTGCGTATAGTAAAGCTCCGATGTTGACGGAGCTAGTTTCTCAATGATACAGTTGCTTGCACGCCATTAATAATTTCACATGTGTCGAAATTAGTTTCGTGAAACTTGTTATTATTTTCATACAGCTGCTTTCGTGATGTGAATTCAGCTTAAGTCGCAACATCTAAAGAAACCTGCTTAGTGTTATTGAATTTCATAATGATGCTTAAAAAAGTGGCAGTTGTAGACGCACCTTAGGAATTACAAGTTTCAATCAGTTACTACACTCATAAATGATTTGTGAAAAGAAATTGTAAGTGATAGTACAGAGTAGTACAATATGTTTACGGTAGAGTAAACAAACATTACCATAAGGGATTGAAATATTTTTCTTTACTATATTTTAATTGAAAAGATTTAAGACCATAACATATAATTCTGAAGATGCTTATCTCAAAAGTACTGCTTCGGTAGTCAGTGTAGTACGTCAAATAATGAAAGTAACTGCTTTTGAAATGAGAATCGCGAATCTTAAACAAACTAGAGCCATAAATCCATTTTAAAACGAAAGTAATAAACACTTTTTTCGTCTATCTCAATATAGAAGAAGTAGAAGTGACGATCATCATTTGGCATTTCCATTCTTAGCATCAATTAAAGCCAATTAACACGTCAATAATTAGCATTAGTGAGTTAAGCGTCTAGCATATCAACTTCTTTCTGTCATCCAAATGGCTAAGAATTCAACTCGCCAATGAGGCAAGTTAACTCTCCGCAAAATTTATAGAAGTGTAAAGTGAGCTCTAATAATGTAACGAATTTCAATGCACTTTAAATTACTTTAGAAAAAGTAGAGGAAAATTATCACTCATGATAGTCAGTTTGAATCACCAGTAATTATATAAGTAGAACTTTAACTTTTTTCCAGCTTGTTTACTTTAAACACAAATAAACATAACTGAAATCTGTTCTGCACGACTCTTTAATAAAATTCTCCGTCGGACAGCTTCGCGGCGTAAATATGCAGTGATCTGAATTCGCAGAACTGATTGGTACACCATCCGCTGTGGCCGTCAGTGCAGCGGCAGGAGTCACATTCGTCCATGTACTTTTCACCGGGAATGCATTTGAAGAACGGATTCTTGATAACTAAGAACAGAACATACAAAATATGTAAATTTTTACAACAAAATGTGAAAAAAAATCACCTACGTTAAAATTGTGGTTCGTACAGTTAGACGTCAATTTTGTAATAATCTGTTAAGTAAGAAAATATATTTTCAAAAAAGGCACATTAAATGCACACTTGACTTCGTCGTTACCTTATTATAAACATTTCCAAAGTATTATATGTATTATTTTAATCGAGATAAAATTGAAATAAGAAATAAGAAACTAACAGTATTTACATATTATGCCCACGAAAGATTAATACCGTGGGATTCAGTCTGGTATCCATAAGTATTTACCTTTAAATATGCAGCAAAAACTGTCATAATTCTATTTAATCATATCATAACAAATAAATTTCTTTACCTGTGCATCTCAGGCAGGGTGTACTTCTCTCGCAAAGAGCTGTTACAGTCGGTTCACAGTAAACGCATGAGGGCATAGACCTGCAGGCTCCCGAGTCTTGCATCTCACACAGCAAGCAGTTCTTATTATCAGGTACTAATGTTAGAGAGGTCTCCTCTTCCCAGTACTGATGTGGCGGTTTGGGTTTCACGAATTGTGATACAACATAACTAAACACAAACAAAAATAAAAGTTTGAAAATATTTCTTTGTATTTACTTAAATATTTCAGAAGTAGTGTCTATAGTAGCGAGCCATTCAACCAATCACCAATGAAATACTCTGGTAAACGAGGACATGTTCTTAGTGACATGTTATTATTATACTAACTATTATATATAACAGTTATTATTTCAGTAAAATTCTCGTCTATTGGTTAAAAATATGTGCTTAAATTATGCCATTTTCTCAAGTAAATACTTCTTTCGAGTATAAGCAACGAAACCTTATATAGCAAACGCTTACGCTTGTGACCCAGGTCTGTATACAGGAGGTGACTCCTCCCCACCACCTCCTATTGAGCTCAGCGTGCCAGGTAAAGGTGTACCTCTGCTCCGGGAACGTGGATCTAGAAACAAAAAAAAAATAGTAAATTTACTAGTTGAAAATAACCATAAAATCAACATAAACATTGAGAAAAACTGTTGAAATTATCCTTTTTTTTTAATTTAATCAAATAACGTGTTATATGTCAGAATGGAAATGCATTTCAATAGTATCATCGTCATCATTATCATCAGTCCTTTTACGTCCTCATTGCAGGGGCTCAGACATTCTTTATGGAGGGTTAAGGATGAGTTATGACCGTTCACGCTAACCACGTATTAACGTATTACCACGTATTACGACGTAATAACGACTGCAAATACAGCCGGGACCTACGGCTTTACCTGCCTTCCGAATAATTTTTGGTCACCCATCCCGTGACCGACCCTCGCGGAAGTTGCTTAACAACGCGTGCTTATCGTGTATTATGACGCCAACGAGCTACTATAGTTCCATAGCTAGTTCTGTAGTGTAATTTCTATAAATTCAACTAAGCTCAGCCAACACACTGTCACTTTTCTCTAGTACACCAATATATCGCATTCTTGACTCGAAAAAGGTAAGGTGGCGGCAAAACTTTCCTTGAGATCATTATTCTACACAGGCTCCTGAATATGAAAAATTAAATTAAGGTACTTGATAGAAGATCATTTATTTTTTATTTTTAATATGTAAATGCTTTAGTTATAAATTCTAATCTCACCAAACATATTTTGTGTTCTATCATTATATATTTTTATTTATTCTAACTTAGATTTACTAACTTTAAATAAAAAATATAAATCACTAATTAATTTACTAATAATAATAATTTAAAAATATACATTTAATAAGTACATAATTAGATGACGCCAATACAGTAGAACAATAATGTGATCACAAAAAAATATACATTAATAAATAATAAAACTGTACATTTTTAGATCAATATTTTCAATTTTATGTTATTCAGTATACAAATTTGATGTTTTTCAGTATAAAAACAAACAAAAATAAGACATCGAGAATTTTAAGCTTTTATATAATAATTAAATCACTTTGAAAGCTTCTCCTGAACACATTAAACATATAATTACATCATTATTATCTTATACTTCTTCTGGATGTGTGATACCATAAGTAAGGACAGTAGAAAAATACAACTAGTACAGTCAACAGGTAAAATTTTACAAAACTGTCAAATTGAAATCATAATGTATTAAAAATAGATGTGAAAACAACTTATTGAGGTAACTTGAAGTGTTGCTATGTATACCTACCATCTCCATACGCTATAACCGTTGATAAGAAACCCAATGATACTAAAACCGTGAACATGACTTTTAAACTTTAAATGCACACATGAATTTGAATTATAACACTATTTTTTAACCGAGCCCTATAAGAGCTAACTCTAGAGGTGCATAAAAACGATAGTGTAGTGAAAAAATCTAGAAGTCGTTATCGATACTAATTGTTGGCTGTAATCCAATTATTGTAATTGGTACACAGTAATTGTATACAGGTTGATCATTTTTAATAAAATATTTATTGAACGTATGTATATGTCGCATCATCTTTACGAAGATCGTTTGATTTAGTTTCTTTTATTTTAATTGCTAGTTACTTGATTAGTTAATTACTTGATTGTAGAGAGAGCGTGATCATCGATACTTTTAATTTTATTAGAATGGTGACACTGACTTTGACAGTTCGTTAATAAAAACCCAATTGCCGCCATTTTGGCATACATTCTGTTTCCGATCGCCGAAGAGTAAAGACATCCGACGACATCACGCTCATCTCGTTATATTTTCGTATGAAAAGTGATAAAATGGAACAAATCCACGTTGGTATACCACGCCTGCAGTGTTATTTTAAAGATACTCCTCCGATATGGACGATCTATTTGGGCTTCGTAATAGCCCCTTCTGACTACCCGCCGACATATATGTTAAGAAAAAAAACATCCTTATGATATGTTGAATTGTAACAAGGATATGAACACCCCACCCTAAATATTATTCGTCAAACTAAATAAAAAAAAAACAAATAAAAAAGAATCATGTCTACTTTTCATACATTAATTGACCTGTCACATATTTTTGAAAAAAGGTCGCGTCTGCCTACCATTAATGAAAATTTAAATTAGTGTTTGCTTAAAATAAAATAACATCTAAGTATCTATTCATTTGGAGGCTGTTATTTGCTAATAATGTTTTAAGGTTATATCACTTATCAAAACTCGAGAAAATTATAAATCTTCTTTAAAAATTAATACATTTAAATAAAATCTTCTTATAGCTTGACTCGTTAATGTGGAATAAAAATCTAATCACGAAACCTAACAAAACGTAGCAAACCGTCATTATACTATCCGAATCGGATAAGGATAATTTTTTGTAAATATTTTTCAGCCTCGCAATTTTTATTGTGACTTTATTTTAAGACTTAATTACACGATATGAAATAAGTAAAAAATAAGCTACGCTTTGAGGTATATCACATTATTCGACGCGTTAGATATTTTTTTTAAAGTCAAAATTGGACATGATTCTTTACAAAATACCAGATATGTATTTCTTTTGCAAGGTTTCCCCTATTTAGTAACGGGTTTTGTTTACTGATCTTTTAGTTGATTTTAGATCTATCGATCCCTATATACTTTAAATAATATTTAAATTTTCGAACCGCCTACTGATATTAGTCTATCGGACAGTTGCACAAACGTCCATTAAGGTTTAATGACGCCTTTAAGCAGTAATGAATGTCAAATTTGTATGGGTAATGTCGCTTTAAACTAATGAGAATCTTAATGAACGTTTGTGCAACTGGCTGTATATCCGTTTGGATCTGATCTGTGAACTTTTTACAACATCCTGTAAATTACATTATCAATAGGCCAATTACCACAGTTAGTGGAAGATCGTTAGACCGGCCGTGTAACTTTTACTGCTTGTGAAATGTTGAGAATACGATTTAAACTAACTAGCAGTTTACCCGCAGCTTTGTACACGTAAATTATAGTATATGTCAACACCGTATGATTTAGCTACCCAAAGATTAGAGACTTTTTAAAATCGGTCAATAGTTTCCGATCCTATTCGATGTATAGGTACAAATAAACAATCACATTCCTCTTTATAATATTTGTATAGACAAATAATTTATTTTAAATAACAACCTTTTGGAGATATAAATATAGAGCTTAAGAGAGTTTGGCTTACCGCTTAACTTGTAAAAGCATTGGAATAAGTAAACTTCAACTATTTTATTATATCCACAACGGTCTCGAAGTATTGTATTTAAGGCTATTTATTCCTTAAACTTAACAATTGTCAATGCCAAAATATACTCGAACTTTAAAAAGTAACACATAATAATAACTTGAAATAATTATAATCCATATTTATGTAGCGCTATAAGGGCATAAACGCACAAGGGCGGCACACAAAAGACTTTTTCTACCAATTTTTCCAATAACAAATATCATGATAAAATTTTGATATTATTATCATTAACATAGATAAACTATCATTATTGTGGCTCCACATTAAATTATAGCTATCCACAGGTGTTGGTTCCCTTAGAGTGATCGATGGGGCTATTATACCAATATAGCTATTTTATTATTAATTATTAGGAGTTTATATTGAATTCATTACGCTGTGACGTTGTTGGCGATTTTTTTTCGTTATGTAGCATAATGTTATTGGTATTCTAATTTGAACTTTATGGATTTAATCGATTTGAGATGATATTGGCAGTTATCTCTCTCTATCTCATGATGCCCGGCAATGAATAAAAAAGGAACAGAGAATTGTGAAAAGCGTGGTACAAAAACTGTTTTTAACAAACTACTCGTAAACTATTACGATTATTGTAATAGGGCTGAATAATACCTTTACAAAGTGACTCACATGGTTAATCAAAGCTAAAAAATTAAAGATTTCTATAGAAAAAATTTTATAAATTTATATTTTGGGAGTGACATACATGTTATAATGTAGTTTACGACTTATTAAAATGGTCTTTGAATAAAACTAATTGAAAATAAAATTTTTAATGGGCCTTTCAATAAAGTTACCTATCTACCAAAGCACGGAAAAGCTCAAAACAGTATAATTTCAATCAATCATTTTTTTAGAATTTTTATTAGTAACCTTTAAAAAGTCAAAGTAATAATATTTATATGTTATAATAAAAAGTACATAGGTACAACTCGGTGCTATCGTCACGAATAAACCCTCTGTATAAATTCGTTAGGCTGTTTCGATAATATTGTAATTATGATTTTGTGGATTTAGATAAGATTGCTTATAATAAGCAATCATTTTTATATTACCTTTATTACAGGAAAATGACAACGAAAAGGCAATTTTTCACCATAAATTTCTGTAAAAAAAAATAGCATTGATCTAGACCTCGAGCGCAGCACTGTCATAGCATAGAGGTTCAATGATATAAAACCTACTTCAAAAGGTAATAAAAGTTTTATATCAATGAACCTCTACACTGTGATAGCGCTGTGCTCGACGTCGGGTTCGAAACTGATTTTATTACAGAATAACAAAGCTATTATATTTATCATTAAGCTTTTCTCTAATATAGTATGATATTCAAAAGTCTCATTACTTTTTTTCTGATTCGACCGACATTTTGATTTTGAATATTACTTACAACTCAAGAAAGGGTATAGTTACATTTTTCAATAAATTAATTGTTTGAATATCATATCAATAGCTTTTTATATCGCCCCCAGTTACAGGTGCTTAAATAAAAATATTTAGTCAAAGGCAAAACATACACCAGCTTATCACGCACGTGGCGATTCCCAAGACGAGGCCCTTATCAAATATCAATATGTCAATACATATTATAATATGCTTAATATATTTCTATTGAGGAACTCGATAACGCAGTGGTTAGCGTGTACAACTTGCAATGCGGAATTTAAGCAACTTCCGCAAGGCCTAGTCGAAAGATGGGCGGCAAAATTATCTGGATCTTCTCCTTGCTTCGGAAGGCACAAAACCGTTAATCCCGGCTGCTTTTGCAGTTGTTTACACCCACCAATTTACACTGAGCTCGCGTGCTTGGTTATGATCAGTTTTCCTTATTCGATTGAATTTGATTCGAAGGTCAGAGGGGACATTAAGAGACTGGTGATGATGAATAAATTTCTATTGAGCTTGTAGAAATATTAATTCACATCACAGCTTACAGGCGCTAATTAAAAAACCAAACTTGGTTATTATCCATGGATACTTTGCTGTAAGGGTACTAATGTGACTCGGCTTGAATGCCTATATCAGAGTAGTTGAGTACGATCATTATAAATAATGGGACAAATAGTATGTAAATATTGTCATAATGTAATTTTAAGTATAAACTTATAAATAAATACAATTTAGAGCCGGTGCAAATCTGACGGAATATCCAACAAGAAGTATGAATCGCGTAAACAGATCTAGTGGCTAATCATTTTATCAAATAATTCATAGATTTTTTTATGGGATTAATTTATTAAGTAAAAATTTGATGTATTTTTTTTTTGTTATGTTATAACACATAAATAAATCAATAATATTGTACCATATACTAAAATTGGAACGATACAGAGAAGATTAGCATAGCTCCAGCACAAGGATGACACGCAAAATCGTGAAGCGTTCCACATTTTATGATTATTTAATACCCAAATCGTAAAGCGTTCCACGATTTAAACCGACTTCTAAATCGAAGAGGAAGAGGGTATATGTGTAACTATTATATGCGACCTCTTTAGGCGCCAACCAAACAGTAGGTTCATCGTAATTCTATTTTCTAAAATCTGAGGATGAACTTTGAAACAAATTATAAAGAACTAGCTAAATAAGTAAAAGTCAGGCCAGTAGTTTCGTAGCCTATACAAATTCAAAAACATAACAATATATCTCCTTCTCTATATATAATATTAGTATAGTAGACATTGTATTTTATCCGTGATTTAATCCTGGCAATTAATATTTTTCTCCACCTATCTATACGACGACCCCAACTCTCAATAAAGGTTCAATAAAATTATCCCAGTAACTGCGGCTTATGACCGGAATCAATACGAGATGATGGCAATAAAAGCCCAGATGTTTGCACTGGCCCGCCCCGCGGCGCGCCTCGCAATTTAGACGATATTAAGTTTATACAGCGATTTGTACCCTTCTTTACACCGGCTTTTGCAGCGGTCAGTGAGAAAAGAAAACGCTACCAATTGATTTAATTGGTTGATGCTGTTACTTGAAGATTACGTAATGAAAGGTTACTCAATACTATAAGAATTTTATGATGTTATAGTGAATACTTTATTTGAGTGATTCTTTGACAGTCTTGTTACATGGTTTTCAAAAGTTTAATCTATCCTAGTCTAATATGGACTATGTAGTTTATATAAACAGTTACTACCCAGTAACTGTTACATAAACAGTTACTACCCGGTTACTGAATTGAGAATGTAAAGTTAAGAATATCCTAAACCGTATATAGGCCATCTTAAACATTACTTGAACGTTTAAATATTAGTTTCCGTTTCTGATTTCTTTTAATTACCAGTTGATTGCAGTTTGATAAAAC